TAGAAAAAAATTGTGCATTAGGATTATGTACAATTTTAATATAACGTTGCCAATTTCTTTGTTCAGTAAAACTTAGTGGTTGATCTAATGTGGCTATTAATCGTGCCATTTCCATACGATCAACTTGCGAATCGTATTTTCACGTGCTTAGACCGCCGGTTTGGCGGTCAAACGATAATTGCGTTTGGCGGAGCTGATCTCCGCCTCCTTGCTTTTGAAGACACTTTTCAGAGTGCCTTCTTAAGTGTTTAGTGCCGTGAATAGTGTTACCTTGTAATTTCTCACCACAATATTTACATTGAGCTACGTATTTAATGTTACCGTTATTGTCGACGTTCTCGAATGTATTGAAGTGCTCCCAAACTGTTGAGGTGCGCTTGCATTTCTTCTTAGAACTTGCAACACTTGCACTAGCACTACCGCTTGCCTCTCCTCCACGGCCACTTGTGCCACCACCATTGCGTCCCCGATCTCTAGTACGTCCACCAGGGGTCGGATTCTCAGTTTGATCAGCAACTCTTTCCATAGTTTGTGATTCCTGTGATTGAAAAACATTAGGAAATTGTCCTTCTTCGATGTTGAATTGGGCATCAACGGGAATATCACCACCATAACCAGAAGAAGCCATTATGAAAAATAAAAGAGATTGAGAGCGCTTTGAGAGAGCTTAAGAGAGATCGAGATTCGAGAGAGATTTAGGCGAGATTAAGAGAGATTTGAGAGAGATTAAGAGAAATTGAGAGAGATTAAGAGAAATTGAGAGAGAATGAGAGTTTTGGGGTGAGGAAAATGGTTGGGAGGGGGGGTATTTATAAGAAAATTTTTTGGTTGAAAAAAAAAAATTTTTCCCCAAAAATTCGGGTTTAACGGCTACAAAATTTTCGGGCAACGGCACAAAATCTGACCGTTGGGTTCAAAAATTCGGGTTCGGGCAGAAGACCGTTTTTTTTCAAAATTTGGGCATTTTTCGGGCTAACGGTAAAAAAAAATCGGGTATTTTTCGGACACGGGGCAAAATTCAGGCAACGGTCACCAAAATTCGGGCAATAGTCACAAAAAATTCGGGCAGCTTCGGGTATTGCCGAAAAATTTAAAAAAAATCCAACGAATGGCGGGGGACGGCTTCTCCACGGTGACTGACTGTCGGGGAGCTTACTCTTTTGGACTACCCGAGCCCGCCCGAAGAAAAGCATTTTCGGGCGGCGAGAGGGGCCTGCCCGCCGTGCCCAAAAATTGTCGGGCATCGGGCAGGCCTGCCGCCCGAAAGTTCAGCACTAAATTTTAGTCCGTTTTGTGCTTTCTTGGTAGCTGTTGTTCTGTGACGTTAGTTGGTCTTTGACATGTCTGCGTCAAAGGACGAGGCTGGCAAGCGAAACCTGCCTTCATGGATGAACAAGGCCGAATCTTCTGGAAACAAACCAAGTGGGTTTCGCGAGAGCGACGGAAGTAATGAATCCGAGAAAGAGAAGCCAAAGCAAGACAAAGGGCATCATAGTAGAACTAATTCAGGCGCTGTGGGAATTGAGACCAGCAAAAAAACTGTAGATTTCTCCAAACTTTTGGTAAGATATCAAAATGGAATTGATTTTTTTTTTTATTCTGTTAGCTTTTGGGTAACAAATTTGACGTTATGAATTAGTTAGGGCCGGTTTGCTTATGGGTCCAAACCTGGTTTGAACTAAAAGTCAAAATTTTGTGGAAAAAAAAAACTTTAGCAGAACCATTTGAATCGGAGTTTGAACCCTTTTACCAAACATGCTATTAATTTGACAGGAAGGAGTGGTTTTTGTGCTGTCGGGGTTTATTAATCCTGAGCGCAGCACATTGCGATCGCAGGCTCTGGCAATGGGGGCAGAATACCAGGCTGATTGGAACTCGGGTTGCACGCTCTTGGTTTGTGCATTTCCAAACACCCCAAAGTTTCGACAAGTTGAGGCTGATTGTGGCACTATTGTTTCAAAGGTAAAAATTTTTCTTCCACTCTTCTTTTTATCTAGACTAGACTAGAAATTGTTGTCGAGGATTTAATGTCCTACCATGCATTTGTTTCATAGGTTCAAATTACTGTGTATTTTCTCTCACAAAATTTAGATTTCTGTTCAAACTTTTATGTTTAAACCTATAAACCAAACGGGTACTGCTGAGAGCAATAAAAACACAAAACAAACAAGGATACATAAAGGATTTATAATGGTTTACCTATAATGCTAGAGCTGTGTCCACTCTTTGTCACTGCATTAATTCACTATGATAAACGAAGAAGATTACAAGAGAAAGCACGCCTTTTTGACTCACTGTCTCTAACCTTCTCTTAATATAAAGAAAATAAGAACTACAGAAATCACATGGGTGAAAACTCCAAGGTAAATTTGCATGTGTATCATAGTAGTAATAAGACTATAACTTAACAATTGGTTTACGCATTATATCTTTATTGTCCATTGTTACGCTATAATGTGTAAAAGATCAATTCATTTTCACCAGTTCGCTCTTTTTGATTATGCGCTCATTATTCATTGTTGTACTGGGATACTGAATACTGATTGGGACATTAGTTGTATGCTAGCAATAGCAATTGCTAAAATACCACCCGAATGGGGTGGTGCAGTGGTACGGATGGCTTTTCTTCTTCTCTTCCCATGATATGTCCAGGTTCAATACCCGGTTGCCCCATCCTGCCTGGTCACTAAGCTGTGTGGCACCATGCCGACGGTGGTGTGAGTGAAAATGGGTCCATCCTTTATGTATAATTGGGTCACGCCCTTTATGTTCTTTTGGCGATTTGCTCTATAGATATGAGGGCACTGTGACACTAGTATTTCTTTTTTATGATCCCCTATTTATAGGTTCACTTGTAATTGGTTGATTAGCTTCTCCATATTCTTTATTAATGTTATGCTAACCATAAAATTAGAAAAAACTCGGTTATTTCTCCAAGCTAATGATACTGTATTTATTTGTGATATGGATATTGAGCTTCGTAATATGTGATGGTTCTAGCTTTCTTCATGTTAGGAATGGATATCGGAATGTTATTCTCAGAAGAAGCTTGTTGATATTGAAAGTTACCTTATGCATGCCGGCAAACCGTGGCGGAGAAGCAATGTTTCCCATGACACCAGCACAGGTATTACCATATCTGTTTGTTAATATTGGTGTTATCTGTAAAGCAATTTTAGGGACGTGTAGATTTATCATTTGTTGATATTGGCTGAAGAGTGTTGGGCTCGAACATGTGTAACTGAAATATGTTGAGTTTGAAGTTTTAGATGCATTTCTTGGACTTCTAAAGATGGCATCCGTTTTGGTGTATTTTCCTTTCATATGTTGTATGATAACTTTACTTGATGTTGAAACCAAGGGACTCGCTAGAACATGCCTTGTGTCTTAAACAAATCCTTCTGGTGACTAATTGATATTTTTAATTAAATGATGCTCGCAGAACCAAAAGCATTGCCACCTAAAAGGTCACAGAAGGAAGGTGCAGGGTCGCACTCAAAACCAACTGCCTCAGCTGTCCCAAAGGTACGTTTCTGATGCATCGAGGAGTCTGCGCGACATACATACACATAGGTATTGGCTACAGTTGGGTGCAATTATCTTCTTTAGGTATTGAGTTCGTTTCCCTTCTTCCTCTTGTTCCATGCACAACAGAACAAAGATCCTGATCCTGCTAATGGATGCTTTTCTCCTTCTAAAGTGAAGAAGTGGGCCATTGATGATTTGAACAATACGATTTCCTGGCTGGAGAGTCAAGAAGAAAAGGTAAGTCACCAAATGTTCCACTAGCTCTATCTTGTCCCTTAACCTAAAACGTATTGACACAACAATAGATTGACTTGTGTGTACTTGTTGTAATAACTCGTGTTTTGGATCACAAGTAATTTCCAGGTTCAGAAGCTATTTCCTCTTTAATGAATTCGTTTTGACTCTGTAAGTGTGTCTGTGTTTGTATCTTTTTATCAGTCATGATATAAAGGATTCAATATCTTTCCCCCTCTCTTTTTTCCTTTCTGGCTGAAAACAGAACAGTTCATCTAGTCATCAAATCCTCTCTAGGATTCAAAATAATATTTCAGAAGCATCTAAAGTGTGTCTTGCTTTTGTCACGCAGTATAGCTTCTAATACTAAGAGAAGGTGGCTGAGATATATAGAACTCCGTTTTTTGCCTCATTGTTTTGAACTCACAATATATCTTGCAAAAAGCATGACCTTGTTCTCCTTTCCATTACAGCCAGAACCAAATGAAATCAAGAAAATAGCAGCTGAGGGCATTCTTACTTGTTTGCAAGATGCAATAGATTCTCTGGAACAAAAGCAGGTATTATCGCGAAAACACATTTGCTTTGGTTGCATTCTTTTGCACTGCACTTTGCAATTAACGCCTTGAGACAAAGAACCAAAATGAATGGAAAAGAAATATACAGGAAGTCTGGAAATTACTGAGCTTACTAGCAAACTGACGGTTTATCGTAGGCTTATAGAACTTGGACATCAGAACCCCAAAAGAAGCAAAAAATCATAATCAAGTACTTGATAAAGTTTATTGAGAGATCTTATTAGGAATGTTGCTTTATCTCCTAAATATTTTATTTCTTACTGATGCTTATCAGGACGTCCATAAAATTATTGAGCAATGGAAATTCGTCCCACGTGTGGTCAAGGAGCTAGCAAAGCTTGAGGGAAAGGTAGAAAATGGCGCCTCCATATCTCAAGAAGATCTCTACAGGGAGGCTATGGAGTGCAAACGGGTTTATGAAACGGAATTTGATAGTTCAGAAGATAATTCATTTCCGAAGAAGAAAAAATCAAAGATTGCAGAACCAAAAAGGGCGACGGGCTATGACAGTGATGAAACTATCGAGATGACAGAAGAGGAAATAGATCTTGCTTACAACAACGTATCTTCTAAGCTCCATAAACAATGACCAAACTCTCTTTTAAAAATGAAAGTGGGTATTTCTTTCGATCAACTTTGTTTGCTACCTCCCATTTCGTCTTTCATGTCCTTTTGGCTTAGTATACGCCGCTTTTTTTTTTTTTTTTTTTTAATATATAT